GAAGTGGCACTCAACTGTGGGCAAAACCTCTTCATGTTCCCAGGTTGTCCACACTGATAACGAGTCAAGGGCTGCCCCCTGCCTAAGCTCTGACTCTGCGGTCTAGCTGATGAAGAAGCAGCTCTCTGACCTCCACTCTTCTGCGGGCAAACAGAAACCTTGTGACCCAGCTGGCCACACTTGTAACAAGCAAACTCCCCCTGATTGCCTCTCCCCGAGCCTGCACTCGGCACTGGAAAGGTCGATCTAGAAACTGCTCCTTGAGACTGCTGAGGGTTATAACCCCTCTGCCTCCTGCCATCATTCTGACCATCCTGGCTCCTCTTGGGACCCTTCTGTTCTTCCTCCTCTTCCTGCATCATAATTTCCATATGAGCAGCAGCATCTACCAGGTGTCTATACTCCCGAATGTAAGATCCACCAACTCTCAACTTGAGGCCCCGCCTCAACTTCCGCTCAAACTCATAGCAACGGCGTTCCTCAGACGCCACCAGTTCCGGTGCAAACCGGACAGACTGGTAAAAGTAGCCTCAAACTCGGCCACTGACAAGCCCTGCTGTTTAAGCCGGCTAAACTGGTCCCTCGGCTTCTCCCTAGCTACTGCAGAGAAAAACCTCTCCTGAAAAGCATTCACAAACGCCTCCCAAGTACCACCAACACGAGCCTTCTCGTACTTCCACCATTGACCCGCATCTCCCTTCAGTTGGAAGGATGCCAAGGTCACTTTCAGTGCTCCGTCCTCGATGCCAAGCATCTCGAACGTCTTACTCATTTGCTCTAGCCACGCATCAGCCTTCAGTGGCTCCTTCGGATCCCCGAGGAAAAACTCTCTCTTCAAGAAAGAAGGCCCTGCCTCAGCTGCCTGATTCCCAGCTCTAAGAATACCCAAAGCTCCTGCTATCTCTCTGGCCAAGGCACCCATGGCCTGCTGACCTACTGGCTCAGCCACAGTGGCCTGACCAACTCCCTCCTGCACTGCCGGAATCTAATGTCGTCCACGAAAACGACTACAAATCGATCCAAGAATTCCCGGAAGATCCAGCTCATCAAGTCCATAAAGACTGCCGGTGCATTGGTAAGCCCAAATGGCATCACCAGAAACTCATAATGGCCATACCGCGTACGAAATGCCGTCTTCGGAATATCCTCCTCCCTGACCCTCAACTGGTGGTAACCCAACC